GATCAGGCCAGCTCCAGCCACTCCAGCCATCTGAGGAGTGAACCAGAAGATGGAAGAGCGCTCATGTGCTCTGTGCTCTCCCCTCACCAATAAATAAATAAATCTTAAAGAAAAAAAAGTCCAGTGACATCTATATAAACAGAAGCTGACTTCTCTTCATACTGGAGATTGGTATGAACACTTCTTTTAGTGTCTTTGTTTAGTTGAGTATTAAATGAGTTCAATTTTTTTTTATTATTAGCATTCAAGAAACAAAGGTTTAGAACTGGTGGTTTCTAGTTCTTTGCTATGATAAAAAATACTGAAATAAACATCAGAAATATCACCATATTCTTTGTTTCCTAAGGATGAAAGATGAAAAATGTGCTTACATGGTCAAGACATCACTTTAGGAAAGCCTTTATAATTTATGATTATGAAAATAAAGTCTGTGTCCCTACACATTTATGCGTAACAGATATTACAAAACTGCCATTTTGGGGCCCAAGGTGCCTTGCTTTTAACTTCACAAAACTCCGTTCCCATAGATTTTCAATCCTGTTTCACTGTAAATTATGTGTTCAAAGTCAATCTTCCTTCTTATGTGATCCTTACAAAAATATCAATCGTGATTCTGATTTTATGATTGAGATATCACACATTCCCCAGTCTCAAAAATGTGTGAGATGGAAAAGCTTCAACTCTGTATTACTTAGCTCACTGCAGCTTAACAGGCAAGTTCCACTTCTGAATTACTTTGTCTCTTCACATACAACAGTGAAAGGAATCAACGACGACATGTATCTAACCGCAGCTTCAGACCTTCTTAAAGCCAGGACTGTTCTGTCCTAGCTTCAATCCCACTCTAAAAAGAGGGGTCAAGTGGGAGGGTAGGAGGAAATTCTTGAGACAACAAAACTGGCATTTTAACAGACAACATTAGCCATTTAAAAAAAAAATTTATTTTCTTGAAAGGCAGAGTGACAGAGAGAGAGAGAGAGAGAGAGAGAGAGAGAGAGAGAATATGACTCTTCCACCTACTGGTTCACTCCCCAAATGACCAGAACAGTCAGGACTGGGCCAGACTTCTTTTCCATCCGGGTCTCCATGTAGGTGGCAGGGGTCCAAGGACTTGGGGCATCCTCTGCTGCCTTCCCAGGTGCAGTAGCAGGGAGCTGGATCAGAAGTGGAGCAGCTAGGACTCAAAATGGCACTAATATGGGATGCCAGCACCACAGGCAATGGCTTAACCCACTGTGCCACAATACAAACCCCAAACCACTACTTAAAATTAGGTAATTTTGGGGCTGGTGCCGTGGCTCACTTGGTTGATCCTCCACCTGCGGTGCTGGCATCTCATATGGGCGCCGAGTTCTTGTGCCTGCTGCTCCTCTTCCAGTCCAGCTCTCTGCTGTGGCCCGGGAAGGCAGTAGAGGATGGCCCAAGTGCTTGCGCCCTGTACCCGCACGGGAGACCAGGAGGAAGCACCTGGCTCCTGGCTTCGGATTCGCACAGCACCGGACGTGGCGGCCATTTGGGGAGTGAACCAACGAAAGAGCTTTCTCTCTGTCTCACTGTCTAACACTATCTGTCAAATAAAAAAAAAATTAGGTAATTTATGTATCATGATAATATCGATGAAACTTATTTTAGATTTATAAAATCATAAAATATTAACACTTGCAATTTTAAGTAAATAAGCTTACATTAAATCAATTTGTATTACAGCTTAAATAACTGTTTCCTAGCCTCACTTCCAATCTTTTACACTCCATAAACAAGTTAACTGAAATACAACTAAGATTTAAGGATGTTTACTAGTTAAGAAATGACTAATAATCTAAGATAATGTAAAATTACTAAAGACACAGCCATATACTTTATATGGCACCCAACTACAGTGTAAGAAGCCAAACTTTCTGATAGACAACAATTCATACTAACAAAATCTACATTTTAGATCTACAAAAATTTACTTAATTCTTTGAAAGGCAGTGTGACAGAGAAAGAAGGAAAGAGATCTTCTATCCATTGGTTCACTCTTCAAATGGCTCCAACAATCAATACTTGGCTAGGCCAACGCTAGGAGCCCGGAACTCCATCTGGGTCTTCTACATGGGTGGCAGGGGCCCAAGCACTTGGGCCAACACTTGTTGCTTTCCCACACATTAGCAAGGAGCTGGATCCAAAGCAGAGCAGCCAGACTTGAACCAATATGGGATGCTAGCATTGCAAAATGGCAGCTTAACCTGCTATGCCCCAATGACAGTCCCCAAAAATCTACACTTTCAGCATAAAAAACTCAAAGAATATAAACAAGTTTCTAAAATTAAAGAAAATTTTGATAATGAAAATAATTTATGAAAAAGCTCTAGAATATGAAAAGAAAGCTCTATACGAGGCTGTAAAAAGCATGAAAAAATGAGAGAAAGACACGTGACCGAGGTGACCTCTGTGGTTCAAATGCCTCCCACAGTTCACTTTCACCATCAGGCGCTTAAAACAGTCCGCTCTCGGGCTCCGCTCTGGAAAACCACTGCAGTGCTAAGCTGAGCCTTAGCCACAGCTGTCCAGAAACTCCATCTCTGTGCCCCAGAGTACCCTCTGATGAGGTGGACACCCACTAACTGGTCTCCCTGCCTCTACTCTTTTTTTTAATAAATAAATACATTTTTAAAATACATTTTAAATATTTATTTATTTATTTGAAAGTCAGAGTTACACAGAAAGAGAAGGAGAGGCAGAGAGAGAAAAAAAGAGAGGGAGGGAGAGAGGGAGGGAGGGAGGGAGGTCTTCCATCCACCGTTTCACTCCCCAATCGGCCACTATGGCCGAAGCTGTGCCGATCCAAAGTCAGGAGCTTCTTCTGGGTCTTCCCACGTGGGTGCAGGGGCCCAAGGACTTGGGCCATTCTCCACTGCCTTCCCAGGCCACAGCAGAGAGCTGGATTGGAAGCGGAGCAGCCAGGACTCGAACTGGCGCCCATACGGAATGCCAGCACTGCAGGCAGCAGCCCTACAGCTATGCCACAGCACCTGCCCCACGCTATCTCTACTCTTGACAGCCTCACAACCAGTTTCCTCACTACAGCCAGACAAGGAACCTGAAATCCAACTGAGTTCGGAGCCTCCTGGCCCTAAGACGCTCTGAGGACTCTGCCCTCAGCGACCACACTCAGCTGTGTGAATGCCCCAGCACACACGGCATGCTGTCACTTTACAGCCTATAGAGACTCACCCCTGCCACCTCCCACCCCTCCCTGTGCCCTCAAAGGACACCAGCCTGTTTGGGACCCTTCAGCAAGAATCCCACCTACACCATCTGCATACCTCACACACACTGCTCTCAAGGAAATGGGCTTCAAGTTCCTCCTCCACACCACCAAGACCCCACTCGCTATTACTCCTCCAGAAGCAGTCTCTGGACCTACACCTACCTCACACCCACCACACCTCGTGAAATTATCTTTTCAGCTTATCTCCTCTACCAGAGGCAACTCAAAAGCGAGGAATATATTTTAACCCTGGGGAGGAGGAACTTACCAGGCATGCCATGGGCGTTTTATGTTTACTGAACTGAAATGCCAACCACTATGCTAAGAAAAATTAACAAATACAGCATGACTTGTCCCTAGCCAATTTACTAGCAAGTCCCATCAGCTCGACTTCCAAAACACATGCCCAATCTGTTCACTTCCCATGCCAGTGCACAGCCACACCACTCAGCTTCCATCATCTTAAATTTATACAACTCTTAACAGCTTCCTAACTGCCCTGCTTCTGTCCGCCTTTACACCACACACACACACACACACACACACACACACACCTATTCCCCCCAGCATCTCTCCAGCAGCCAGAATGATCTTGTAAAATGTAAAATGTTTACATCCTTTAAAAAGTGATTAAACAAATGCCTTATCTGCTTCCCATTATATTCAGTGTCCAACACTCACATAATCAAACTCTTTCCACATTTTGGACTCTCCATCCAGAGGGCTCCTTCCCAGTCCTCCAGTCCAAACAGCCACTTCCCCCTCCCAGCCTTCACCCTGCTCTTTCCCTGCCTGGAGGCCTCTTCCCTCAGCTCCCTGCTGCTCCCGCAGCGCTCAGCTCAACATCACAGCCCAAGCAGAGCTGCTTTTCGTCCTGCAGTCACTCCCTAGCCTGTCACCACCCTGGTCTCCTTTGCACTCACACCCGTGGTCAATCAGAGTTTGTTTCCTTCCTGTTCACTGTGTGTGCTTGCCCAGGAGGAGAGCAGGAACTTGGGGTTTTGTTCTTTCCTGTCTAGAAATAGTGCCTCACACATAGCTGGCACTCAAGCATTTGGAAAACACAAGACTTAACTGACAAAAACGGTCCTTATTTAAGATATATCTGAAAGAAGTAAGGTAAAAAGAGATCACAGTCTACCAACTGAGGCAGCAAATACCCTACTGTTAGTGTTTGCAGTGAGGCTGGTGTTATCGAGGTCTGTGATCTACAAGCATCGGTAGTATGTTTCTCAAAGTTCACCCGGAATATGTCAAGCATATTAGTTTCACATGCTATAGACACTAGCCCAAATGTATGATCACAAACAATCATTTTAGAGAATCCCACATTTTTGACACTTCCCCAAAACCCTATAATGTACAAAAGTCATGAAACATTTAAAAACCACCCACCACTGTTTAAAGAGCAACGCTTCTAATAGTGGTGCTTCCCTGTAAGTGATTCTACATGCCGAAAACCTGAGCCTCGTCGGTATGGGGCTTATCTTCCAGACAGGTTCTGACTACCACCCCCGACCTCTAAGGACTGCTCTCGCTACTGCTTCTTCTTGGAAGTAATGCTGAAACTCTAAGTACCTTATTCTGCTTGATCAAATCTTCTCACTGCTCAAGAAAATGATTTGTAAAATCAACAAGTCTTAACTGGTAAAACAAAATTGATGACAGGTTAAAAACAGCATATTCATTCAATTCCTGCAAGCGTTTTCAACAGTAAGGTCACCCCGACTTCACTAACGACACTCACCTTGGTATGGTGACACATTTAGTATTACAATTCTGAGTGGTGATGGCTTTCTCAAGCTCATCTAGTCGTCCCGTTTTCTTCAGCTTCTTCACCAGACTCTTCACGGCCTTCTCACACCACTTCTCTTCCTGGCCATTCTGCTCCCCTCCTCCCGCTCCTCCAGAGCCACCGGCCGACTTCTTCCACCCCAGCAGTCTCTTCACCACTGGCGGAGTGAACGGCAAGATGGACGACATGCTCTCACAAGAGGCGGACCACACTGCGAAAAGAGCCTCCTGTAGCTAGCCTAGAAAAGATATTGAAAGGATCATATGAGACTAATTTTAAATTTAACTAAAAATCAACACATTATAGAAGGAAAACTAAAAAATCATACAGGGGCTGGCACGGTGGCACAGTGGGTTAATCCTCTGCCTGCAGTGCCGGCATCCCATATGGGCGCTGGTTCTAGTCCTGGCTGTCCCTCTTCTGTTCCAGCTCTCTGCTATGGCCTGGGAAAGCAGTACAAGATGGCCCCAGCACTTGGGCCCCTGCACCCGCATGGGCGACCTGGAAGAAGTTCCTGGCTTCGGATCACCACAGCTCTGGCCGTTGTGGCAATTTGGGGAGTGAACCAGTGGATGGAAGACCTCTTTCTCTGTCTCTCTGTCTTTAACTCTACCTCTCAAATAAATAAAATTAAAAAAAAGAGACAGATGTTTCAAATTATTACTTTTACAACCATGAAAATATTGTCTTTACTAATTTAAATGGTCTGCAGAAACAGGCTCTTCAGAAACAAAGACAATGTTACTACAAGTACCAAAGTCTTATGGACAAATACAGTAATTCTGCAAATAAAATCCTTTAGAGAGATCTTCCATCTGCTGGCTTACTCCCCAAATGACCGCAATGGCAAAGGCTGGCCAGACCAAAGCCAGGAGTTTCATCCAGGTCTCCCATGCAGACACAAGGATCCAAGTCCACTGCCACTTTCCCAGGCTAGGCATGTTAGCAGGGGGTTGGACAGTAAGTGGAGCAGCACCCATATGGAATGCCAGCATTGCAGACAGCCGCCAAATCTGCCATGCCACAACACCAGCCCCTACAAGTAAAATCTTTCTGAACATTATTATCCCTATCAATATGACTTCATATTTAAACTCTTAATAGTATCAATGGTTAAAATATTTTTTACAAAAACAAAGTTGTTTTCATTTATAGGGCTTCAATTTGTTCTCAAAAGACCTAACAAAAATACACTTAAAAAGTACAAGCCCACTCTTGCCAAAATTTTAAACTTTCATAACTAAGTAAGTATCATAAAACAAAATTCAAAGTTTTAAGATGGGATGGAGTTCCTGGCTCTTGGCATCTGGGCTGGGGTTGTTGTAACCATTTGGGGAGTGAATAAGTGGATGGAAGATTGATCAATTACTCTCTCTTTTCAAATAAGCATTTTAAAAAAATAGAATTATATTAGAAATAAAGTTTTAAGAAGGGAAAATGCATGAAGTCCAAAGTAAAAACAAGAATAAAGAAATAAAGGTAGGGAACTCACAATGTGGCCCAGCAGGTTAAGCCACTACATGCAACACCGGCCTCTCACATAAATGCTGGTTGAGCCCTGGTTGCTCTGCTTATCATCCAGCTCCCTGCTACTGCATGTGGGAAAGCAAGTGCTTAGGCTCCTGCCACTCCTGTGCCACACCTGGCCCAGCCTTGGCTACTGGAGCTAGGTAGAGAGTGAATGAGTTGATCGAAGATCTGAGTCACTCTTTCAAATAAAAAAAAAAAATCTTAAAAAAAATTTAAAGGTAAACAGAGCCTGTGGAAAAAAGGTCTGGTTCACCTTCACCTGCCTTTAGCGGGATGCCTAATTTAACCTCTTTTTGAACATGTCTTCATTTTCATCCAAGCAATAGTGTGAGTAAAGTTGAAACAGTTTCTCTTCCATACCAAAGTGCAATTTATAAAAGTATTTTCATGTTATATTTATACCTACGCTACAGGCTTATCGCACCTGCAATTACAAGGTAAGGTATTATCTTTTGATATTTCTATGAAAAATGAGGATTAGCTTCCTTTTATCACATACTTGCCTTCTTGTGAGAATTAGCTCCCAATTGTAATTAAATAATTATGTATATAATATTGTTACTTGATGAGATTGAGCAAACTATGTTTCTTCTTATACATTTTTGCTTTCCCAGAGTTTTCTTATCTTTCATTGGCTTTCTATGTATTTACCACAAATTCTTCCCACACTCTGTCCCAGTTCTTCAATTAAATGTTTCTTAGTCAAAAACATCAGCAAGCAATTAGCTCTCCTTATTCATAGAACCCTCATATCCTATAGCCCTGTGTTCACCCACTCCAAACCAAACCAATACTCATCACCCTGCTGGGTTACAGTTGTCCTAGGAACTTCCTTCTCTCTCTGGGAGGGAGCCCCTACCTCTTAGTACCACAACTTCTTCTTTTCTTGGTTCTCTCCTCAAATGCCTGAGGGCTGTGCCAGGCACAAGTCAGGAGAATGGATTCCAATCCACGTCTCCCACACGGACGGCAGGGACCCCAGTCATCACCTGCTGCCTCCCAGGTGCGCATGAGCAGGAAGCCGCACTGGCAGAACAGCAGCCAGGACTCAGACTACTATTAAGCTGAACCACAACACCCACCACACACCAGGTTTTTTATTTTCTTTTAATAACTTGATATTAAAATAAAGAAAAAATATATAAAATGACTAATATTGACAAAAGGAAACATGAAGACTTTCACCTCTTTATTTCAAGATTTACTAAAAATCCTTATTATCGATAGAGACTGCACATAAGCAAAAAAAAAAGGAAGAAAAAGAAAACCAATGGATCAATGGAAAGGAACGGCATCTAGAAATAGAAACCCAATTTCCACCAAGGCACCAAGTCAGTCTATTTTCAACAATTTCTACACAATCTGAAAGATAATAAACCTCAACTACTATTTCATACCATCCTTGCTGGGAAAACATCTTGAGATCTTGGGAGGAAAAAGGCCTGATATTTTCATGACATCAAGACATTAAAAAACAAAAACCAGAAAGAAAAAAAGCAAACTATCAAAATTAAAAATAAGGTTGTCAGTGGGTTTGAGTACAGCAGTGAAGACACAACTTGGGACACAGTCACCCCTTATCAGAGTACTGGGGTTCCCAGCTCTTCCTGCTTCCTTCTTCCTGCTAACGCAGACCCTAAAAGGAAGCCAGGTGATAATGGCCTGAGTACATGGGCCCCTGCTATCCACACAGCAGACTAGATGGAGTGCTGGGCTCCTGGCTTCACCATGGCTCAGTTCTGGCTATTGTGGGCATATGGGAAGTTAGCCAGCAAATACAAGATCTATCTCTTGTCTCTTGCTCTGCCTTTCAAATAAAATATGTCTTTCAAATAAAAATGAAAAACATATGCATATCAAAAAAATACCAGTGAAAAATGAGTAGACCAGGGAAAGTTTTTTATAGTTCATATATCTGATTAAGAACCACTATAGAATATATATATATAAACACAAATCAAATTTTTTAAATGGAAGCCAGTGTTGTGGCATAGCAGGTAAAGCCACCACCTGTGGCACCAGCATCCCATACAGGCAGCAGTTTACTCCGCTTCCAATCCAGCTCCCTGCTAATGTGCCCAGGAAAGCAGCAGAGGATGGCTCAAGTGCTTGGGCACCTGCACCCACATGGGAGATCTGTAGAAGCTCCTGTATTAAGCCTGGTCCAGCGCTGGCCTTTGCGGCCATGGGAGTGAACCAGCAAATCGAAGATCTCTCTCTCCTCCTCTGTAACTCTTTCAAATAAATAATCTTATTTTAAAAATTAAATGTAAAAAATGAACTCAATTACTTGTTAGATTTAAAGAATTGGCCGGCGCCGCGGCTCACTAGGCTAATCCTCCACCTAGCGGTGCCGGCACACCGGGTTCTAGTCCCGGTCGGGGCGCCAGATTCTGTCCCGGTTGCCCCTCTTCCAGGCCAGCTCTCTGCTGTGGCCAGGGAGTGCAGTGGAGGATGGGCCAAGTCCTTGGGCCCTGCACCCGCATGGGAGACCAGGAGAAGCACCTGGCTCCTGCCATCGGATCAGCGCAGCGCACTGGCCGCGGCGGCCATTGGAGGGTGAACCAGCAGCAAAAGAAGACCTTTCTCTCCGTCTCTCTCTCACTGTCTACTCTGCCTGTCAAAATAAATAAATAAATAAAAATTTAAAAGAAATTAAAAAAAGATTTAAAGAATTAACTAGAGGCATTTCATGAAAGGAAAAGGAGCACATTAAGAGGTGTTTAATGTCACCAATCATCAGAAAAACACAAATTAAAACCACAATACAATGCTGTTTCAAACCACCTAAAATGGTTTAAAGATTTCCTGACAGTACCACATGCTGGTGAGGACGTTAACATGAAATATGAGCATTGTCACTACCGATAAGAAAAAAAAGAAACCGCAAGCTCAGTTTCTTCAAACACAAAATTACAAAAGTCAGTTTTAATTGTAAAGTCAAGGTGTTAGCAAGACTGGACCTTTAAGTCTCCTCTTGTCTTTTTCAGCTTCTAGTGGCTGCCTCTACTCCTTAGCTTGCTCCCTTTCCTCCATCTTCAATCACCCAATCTCTGCTTCTACTGTCACACTGCCTTCTCCCCTCCCACAGTCAGATCTCTCACTACCACCCTCTAGTAAGGACACCTGAGATTACGCTTAGGCCCAGGCAGATAACCTGAGATAATCGACCCATCTCAAGACCCTTAACTTCATCACACCCACAAAACCTGAATATCTCTGGGGACCTTAGCCTACTAGATGGAGCAAACGGAGTCTTCACACATTGCCGAATTCAGTATGAAATGGCACAGCGCCTCTGGAAAAATCAGCAAGCTCCTACACACCCATCTAGCCTGCATCACAACTCCCTCCTAGACATATATACAAGAAAAATGGTAACAGGTCCACAGAGACCTGTACAAGAATATTTATAATCATATCCAGCCAAAATATCAAAAAATGGTATATTCACATAAAGGAAAATATGTTGCGCAAAAGATACCAAACAGAGCATCCACTGTGCGACTCCAAGCAGGTGATACAAGCTCAAGGACGGTCTCAGAGGCACTGGGGAAGGGAACAGGATGCTCAACAAGGCACAAAGGACCTTTCTCACATGACAAGCCAGGAAGGACGTGAGCACACAATTATGAAAACTCATGAAACTGAATATTTAAAGTTTTTGTACAGGATGGGCATTGTGGTGGAATGGGTTAAGCCACCTCT